GGCGCCCAGCATGCCAGGGTCGCCAACGCCGTCAGAGTCATCTGAGTCCGAGTCGCCGCTCTCGCTCATGTTGACCCTGGGGAGAAAAACTTTAATTTTTTTGTAAAATGTTTTTTTTCTCAAAATGTTATCTCGATTGTGCCTATGACCAATTGCCCAGAATTTACCTGATTTCATCAACCAGGCTCAAAAAAGCATTAAGTCTGGCTACTTGTATGATGGGAGACTGCCTGGGAAAACCAGGTGTTCTAGGCTCGTGCTGCGAGTTGGACAGGAGATGGCAAGAGAGCAATGGATTCTTAATTCCATACAACCGAGTGATGAGGTGGTCAGGTGGCTCAGAGGGCAGAGAAACGAGCCGGCACCACTGAGATCCTGGAGCATGGGCTGCGAGTTTAATCGGCACGTGGCAGCAGAGTAACGGACTCTCTGGTCTACATTGCCGGGCGAGTCGACACACGCGGTGACACGTGACGGCGGTGTGCCCGCTCACCTGCTGTCGGAGTACACCGAAGTCTCTGAGCTTTCGCTGACGCGTGCCAGCATCGCCGCGCTGCCCTTGCGCATCCTCACATAGTCTTCCTCCCCGATCTCGCCAGGCTCGAACCGGCTGGGCGGACGCCGCATCGCCGCCTTCTTGGCCGGCACCATCATCCCGTACGAGACCATGGTGCCCTCCTCCTCCGTGGAGGACTTGTCCTTGGGCGAGAGGATGAGCTTGAGCTTCAGCCCGTCTCCATCGCGAGACGAGATGCCTTCCGAAGACTACAACGACAAAGATCCCCCCCCTATAGCCTTAACAGACTGTTAGCGAATAGCACCTATGAAGTCCGGTAGGGCACTCGGGAGATTGGCCAGCATCACGACCGGCCGCCTTTGTCTCCCCAATGGTGATGATTATGCATCACATCAGGTACTCATTTGAGGCTAAGTCGATCTAGGGAAGGCCCACAACCGATTCAGATCATCGTCATCGGTGTTCGCCGTGAGCGGGAATCAAATTCTGGTCACCAGGTTCGTAACGCAGCGTGCTAACCACGACACGACCGCTCTTTACTCCGAAGACTGAAAACACACACACACAGAGAACATGCAGGGTCACTCTAATCTAATGTAGTTCAGATTCTTTCAGAAGGCTATGAAAGTGCATACATGCAATAACTAACGTCAGTGCGAGCCACTTCACATCATAGCCAACACAGTCCAGGCACATCATGTCGTGTAGGCGTGCGAAAATTAGGGTTGTTAATGGACATCGATTATGATGGAGGGAAGGCTCGAAGATGCTCGGGGAAGGGGAAGACCGGATGTGAATGGAAGTCAAACTTCAAATACTGGACAGAATGCAAACCGTCTCAGTTTAAAGACACAGCGACAGACAGATATGTGTAGAGATACGACTGCGGTGGAGGAAACGGCCGAGAAGAAGAGGATTACCCGATGCCTCTTTTTCGAGGTCTTCCATGCCTCTGCAAAGGTCTCCTCTTCTTCCCGCAGGAAATCTTTGTAGGAGCGTTTCTTTTCTCGTTGGCTTCGACCAGAAGTCCGTCCCAGCTCCTCCACACCGCTCTCCCCGGCGCTCGAGTCTGTAAGATGGGAAACATGGTGCAATGTGTTATAATCGTAAACACAATTAGAACACGCACATATCACACGGATTTGACGCGTTGTCTGATCGAGAACTCGGAGGAATGTCCTTTACAATATAAGTCATAATTAGCCGTGGGTTAATCAGCCGTGGGTGAATCCACTACTGGATGAAGTCCTCCGCAAGCCACCGCCACCACCTCTAACGATCCCTTGATGTAAAAATCCACCTATGATGACCTGCAAGGTGGTTATCACTCCATCTCCTCGATAGACCTTTTCTGACACATTCCATTCCTTGGCTGCCACTGTTATTCTTCTTGGCCATCGACCATCGTACCTCCTAGCCATGACGTGTCCTGCCCAAGAACGCTTTATTTTATTCACAGTTTGAATGGTGTCATTGACGTGCGTTTGTTCTCCGACCAATTGTTTAATAAAAGTGTTTTCCAGGAATAACGTGAGTGGATATACCGTGCCCTACATGCTGTGCATAACAGCTTTTGTTTACTTGAGATGACCAGGTGGCTGAGGTCAGAATCGCTGAGCTGGCAACAGTTGAGACCCTGGGTTCGAATCCTGGTTCCAACCACCTACGATGAAACCGGGGCTCTCAGGGCGCGAGTGGATGGTCATTGAACTTGGTTCGAAACTTTGCCTCAAATCCAACCCCCCACCTTCCACTTCACGCCGCACTAACCAACGAGAAGTTTGGTCAAACAATCCCACGTCCCACGCGGCGTGGGGAGCAAGGCCGTAATTATAATATATATTGGGGGGGACACATCCCCCCCATTAATCAAATATGCTCAAAATGTCCCCCCCCCCAATATACTGCTATAAAAATATTTTTTAAATATATAATTGTGATGCTATGTAAATAAAAAGAATAATTTGCTAAACCTTGGTCACAATATCTGGACTTGTCTTCATATAACAATGTATCAATTTCTGTTTATATGATTGTGGTTATGGTTGTACTTTATGGATCCCTAATCTCTGCCATTACATACAATGAAACAAGATACGGTAAAAAAAGAAACAGCAACGTAATACAATACACTATTAGACATCATTGTAAAAAAATAAAAAGTCCATCCCATGTGTTAGTGAATTTTTTAATATTTTAGGCAGGAAATTTGTTTTCAAATTTAGATTTTTTTTCTGGGAGGGGGACCCCAGACCCCCTGGAAGATTTGGATCCCAGACCCCCTGGAAGATTTGGGCCCCAGGCCCCCCGGAAGATTTGGGCCCCAGACCCCCTGGAAGATTTGGGCCCCAGACCCCCTGGAAGATTTGGGCCCCAGACCCCCTGGAAGATTTGGGCCCCAGACCCCCTGGAAGATTTGGGCCCCAGACCCCCTGGAAGAATTGGGCCCCAGACCCCCTGGAAGATTTGGACCCCCCCCCCCCATGTTGACTCCATGGCTACTGCCTTGGGGAGGCCTTCATCACACAGTGACTTTAAAACGGTTTATCGTCATTATAAATGACAGTGTTGATGGGTACGGCCTATTCATGATCAGTCGCAATAGCTTTCCAGAATTATAATTAAGACATCAATGATCATGTGTACAGACAGTAATCTTAATAGACATTCAAACTATACAAATGATACGTTGATAGCCTCTCTCGTTATAAATAATCGTGCTGAGAGACATCGCGCCTTATTATCGAACTGTAATTGATAAAGGTGCAGGCCTGCAATGTCTCCATCACACCACCGCTGACGGGAGGGTCTCCACCAGAGTGTTTGGCCTACTCTTCCACGATGACAAAGACGTCTTGGGAAGAGGTGGGGAGGAGGGAATGTCGACACTTTACCTCATCGTCGCACGCGACCTGTCGACTCTAGCGAACCCATCCTACGCTGGGGGTGGGTTTCAAGAAACTCGGACAGATGTTTCAGCTGCCGCGCCGGGAGGTGGAGTAGAAGAGTTCGTTAAAAGCATCTCCACACCGCCGCGGCAGCGAAAGCTTCGAATCTAATCTTGATTTGGTTCAATAATCGATTAATAACAAACGCTTCTTTTAGCACAGCGGATTAGCATACCGCTTTAGAAATTCTAGCGTGGATAGGCATAGCGCCTTGTAAAGTCTAGTGTGGATAAGCGCGCGCATTGTATACCATACCACTGATGGACATACCGTCCCGCTTTCTGCCGCCCTCGAACGCCATGCCTCTCCTGCGTCTCCCGAGCCCTCCGCTGGACCCCTGTAACTCCGCTGTATCCCGCCGTAACCCTTCTGGACCCCCCTGGATCCCCGTGGACCCCCCTGGACCCCCCTGGATCCCCGTGGACCCCCCTGGACCCTCCTGGATCCCGCGTCCGCGCCGAGACGGGGGTAGGCGCCAAGGAGGAGAGCGGAGCCTCGGCCCGGCCTCAGAGTCCGCGACCATTTGACGCTTTGCTCACCACGCGTTGTCTCCCGAGTGGATGACGGCCCAATGGAAGTGACGGCGGTCCTGGGCCTCCCCTAGGTCTACTCAGCCTTAAGAAAAACGAGTCCCTAGTGTAAACATGTTTTTTTATTTTTATTTGTTTACGGAAAGAACCAAGAATATGAATTCCTGCGGTCACTAAAGTTTAAAATCTAAATTGTTTGTGTTTCTCCCTTGTGATGGGACTTTGAAGGATGAACGTTGAGATTTCTAAGGGCACGGGGTGAGCAGTAAGGTCTGGATCGGTCTGTGATTGGGTAGGCACTGATAAGGGGTTTACAGGTTTGGATACTCTAACATCGTTCATCTAAATTTTGATTTAAAGCTTTCGTGACTGCAGTAATTCATATTCTTAGCTCTTTCGGTAAAGTCATGATGACCGTTTGTTATGGTCGAAACGTCGTGAGAATTTTTATTTTTTATATATATTTTATTGTTTCCCTTCAACGTGACTTTACCGAAAGAGCTAAGAATATCGTTCATCTAATTTATATTTTAAATATTTTAAGCGGGACGACCCCTGCCCATATCTGTGCCTCAACACAAAATAATAAACATGATTTGACACATCCCATCAGCCCAGTGTGTTTCCTCGTGGCCCCTGCAGTGGGGGGGGGGGGGCAGCCTCGAGCTGCCCCTCGTGGAGGCCTTCCCACAACGGCGACGGGGGGCCGCACTTGCAGGGCCGCGCCTTCACCGTGGGCACGGAACCGCGGATTGACGTCGGGCGTTTGGCGTGCGGACGAAGAGCGGTGGACAAACATCGTCCCTCGAGTTCTGGCACGCGTGGCTCTCTCTCTCTCTCGTCCAGTGGAGACCCCTTCCGACGGCATCGGCGTGAGCGGGAATTTCAGGGGCTGCGCCTTTACCTCCTCGTCGTCGTCGTTAGCAGGGCGGAAGTGTCGCGGTTTATCGGCGTGGTGGTTCATCGCGGTGCCTCAGCCCCCCCCGCCCCGCACGGCCTCACACTGCGCCCCCCCACAGCAGCAGCGGCGAGTCGAGGAGCGAGTGGCGCCTTAGGCCAGCCTCGTCGCACGGGTTGCAACGCGAGCATAGCCAAGGGGAAGCACCCCCCCCGCCACCCCCCGCCACACCAGCTGGTTCATTAATCGATAAATTGATCAGTTATCGTCGTGAGCGCGAGTCGGTGTGAGGCGACATGGCGGGCACGGCGCTCAAGAGGCTCATGGCCGAGTACAAGCGTGAGTTGCGTGGACAACACCACTGTCACTAATGATGTCTTAACTCATAAACACACTGGTGTCTACTAAATACACACATACACTAACCCCACGCAGATACACTCGTAAACACTACCAAGTGCGCACGAGTGAACACCAATAAACATACATTGACAACTGATACGTACTAATAACCATCAATACACACATCAATACACACTAACATCAATACACACTAATAACCATCAATACACACTAATTAACATCAATACACACTAATTAACATCAATACACACTAATAACCATCAATACGCACTGGTAACCATTAATATACACTAACATCAATACACACTAACATCAATACACACTAACATCAATACACACTAATAACCATCAATATACACTAACATCAATACACACTAATTAACAATGAGACGAATATATATAAAAACGCTGCGTGAATAAACAAAACCAACTTACACGACATTAACACGAATATTCATGAGCACAACTCGGTATAGACTAATATAACAAGCACCACACTAATCTACGTAGGACTAACTTCTACAACATGAACCAGCAAACTATTACAAACAAGTACAGTACACCACGCTGATAACAACACTAACTTGCACAACAACAATGAGTTGAGTTAACGAAGTACGTTCCACGCTCATAAACACAACATGAACAACATAGTAACACGAGCATAAACATCACTACACTAATAAACACAACATTACATTATTAAACGCAACGTGTGTAAACAACTGCATGCAGCAATGATAAGCATACGACTAATAAGTAAAACTTTGTACAAATGAAATAACTGCAGTAATGTCCGTTAACTAGCAACAATATTAAACACTTTGTACAAATTAAATAACTGTAGTAATGTCCGTTAACTAACAACAATATTAAACACTAACTTTGTACAAATGAAATAACTGCAGTAATGTACGTTAACTAACAACAATATTAAACACTAACTTTGTACAAATTAAATAACTGCAGTAATCTCCGTTAACCAACAACAATATTAAACGCTAACTTTGTACAAATGAAATAACTGCAGTAATTCATATTCTTAGCTCTTTCGGTAAAGTCACGTTGAAGGGAACCAATAATAAAATATATATTTTATTGTTTCCCTTCAACGTGACTTTACCGAAAGAGCTAAGATTATTAATTACTGCAGTCACGAAAGCTTTAAATCAAAATTTAACTGCAGTAATGCCCGTTAACTAACAACAATATTAAACACAAACTTTGTACAAATGAAATAACTGTAGTAATGTACGTTAACTAACAACAATATTAAACACGCGCTTGTTTGCCCGTCCTAAGACGTGTGTATATTGCAGTAAATCTGAAATATTAAATCGAGAAATTGTTCATCTCATGATTCTAGATTTGAAGCAAGGATCCATACTCTTTGGTTCTATTCGGTAAAGTCACGTAGGTAAAAAAATAAAACAACAAAAATCACGACGTTTCGGCCACAACATAAGCGGCCTTCATCAGGTGAAGGGACCAGGCTGTCTCGAAGACAGCGCCGCAGTGAAACACAGCCACCTTAATCCCTCTCACACAGCTTAAAGGTCGCGGTCAGAGCTTGGCTGTGTTTCACTCCGGCGCTGTCTTCGAGACAGTCTGGTCCCTTCACCTGATGAAGGCCGCTTGTGTTGTGGCCGAAACGTCGTGATTTTTTTTTATTTTTTTACCTACGTGACTTTACCGAATAGAACCAAAGAGTACTCATCTCATGATTATTAATGAGGGGGGGTTGCCCCATGTGGAGTGACGTCACCCGCTCATGATTATTAATGGAGGGTTGCCCCATGTGGAGTGACGTCACCCGCTCATGATTATTAATGAGGGGGGGGTTACCCCATGTGGAGTGACGTCACCCGCTCATGATTATTAATGAGGGGGGGTTGCCCAATGTGGAGTGACGTCACCCACTCATGATTATTAATGAGGGGGGGGTTGCCCCATGTGGAGTGACGTCACCCGCTCATGATTATTAATGAGGGGGGTTGTCCCATGTGGAGTGACATCACCCGCTCATGATTATTAATGAGGGGAGGGGTGCTGCATGTAGAGTGTGCGACCTTGTGCGTCAGTGTAAATTTCCACGCGGACATGAATATTAATGAAGAGGGGGGGGGCCTCTTTTGCAGTGACGCCACGTACAGATGTAGCACTGTGCTGCGTAGATTTTTTTACCGTCACCTGTAAAGAAACGTCATATTTGAAGGGAATTAGACTAATACATTATTTAATTCAGCTAGACCTTGTGCGTTGATAGTGTAAAAAATGCACCCATTCATGAATATTAATGAGGGGGTGGGCCTCATGTGGAGTGACGTCATGCGCGGGACACACTTGGCTCATATTTTTCATTATTACACATTCCTGCGGAGGGAGCTGGTAGGAACGTTGGGTTGCTCGGTCAATGGCCAGGGTCAACGGCGGCACCACGTGATGTATTTCGCCACAAATATGCCCGACTGTGAGGGCGGGCACAAACCGTCGTGAGTAGGTTAAACGTTGAGTTTTATAAGGGCACCACGGGGTGACCAGCCCCTCCCCACCCAGCCCCACCCCTCCCACCCCCCACCCAGCCCCTCTCCACCCTCCCCACCCAGCCCCTCCCCACTCCACCTCTCCCATTTTTGGTGCACGACGGACGGACACAATAATCCCCTGTGGGCTGGTGGTGTAACCAGGAGGTTCCTACCAGTAACAGCTTTTATTGAACTCACTCTGTCTGTTGTCGTATCCTCAAATCTTGTAACTCAATTTTAACCCACTTCCCAATGTCGTATCGGCTGCAAACTTGGTATACGTATGTCATACTGATGACAATACTATATTCTATCATTAAAAATATTAAAAAAATATTTTTAAACATTATTTTTTATATTTTGTCCACGCTCAACTCACGTTGGCTGTAATTGGCCACGGTCCCTTACGCTGTGGCAAGCTTCGGGGCCACTTCCTGGAGTTGTGGAGTTCTGCCATTACTCGTACGGTACATTTCATTAAAGCGGGTTTTTAAAGTATTTTTAAATATTACTTATTAGTAGTATAGCACTAATACACGTAAGAACACTCATACATGTCACAACATAAAACATTACAAAGTAACAACCAATGAACATGTTAACAAACACGAATTAAGCACGAAATTAACTCACAACTTTAAACATAACATTTACACACAACGTTTAACATATTTAGCGTCACAAATAAACACATGTATACGGTACACATGTATACGGTACCCGTAACATCAGTGGACACATGTTGGCACTGTACATGGCAGATGTAATGATCAATATCAGCACGTAAAGTTTCTTTGAGAGTCGATGATACTGTGTTGCATGATTGTTGATTTCCATGAGAGTCCCAGCCTACTGCTGCACGATGGTGCTGTGTTGCATGATTGTCCATAATAGAGGTTTTTTGGGTTGATATTGATCGCGAAAGCCTACGTGTTTAATTTGCGTGATTGTGTTCGTTTCCATGAGAGTCTCGGTCTACTGCTGCACGATGGTACTGCGTTGCATGATTGTGCTTATTTCCACACAGAGCTCACGCTGAATCCACCGGAGGGCATTGTGGCGGGTGAGTGTCTCTCCTCTTGCTGTGTCACAAAAAGACAGATCCCCTGTCTAGATTTTAACAGACCGTTGGGGCCAAGTGCTTTTAGCCCAGCACCTATGAAATGCCGAAATTGCACATGAGGGGGTAGGTGACCAGCCTTTGTCTCTCAAGTGCTGGTGTTTACACACGGCACCAGGTACTTTATTCAGGCCTCGGTGAAGTTCATGACCAGTTTATATATTTTACACTGTTATTGGTCGTGAGCGGTAATCGAACGTGGGTCACCTGGTTTGTAGTAGGGCTGAACGATTAATCAATTTCAAATCGAAATCGCAATTTGAAACGACGCGATTAGCAAATCGCAAAGGCTGCGATTTGAAAAGTCCTATTACTTTATTATTGGAATTTTATTTTTTATTATAGCTTTATTTATTTAACTTAACAATTGTTCTACATGTGATTGTTTTATTTCAATTAAAACATTTTAATAAATACATGTTGGAAGCAATTAAAATATTTTAAGTTCTCATCCTTGCATTAGAATATATAGAGCAGTTCACATTTTGATGGTATCATGTGGTAATGCTCCATCACATGTTTTAAATCTATTACACAGTGAATATTGAACTGAAGCTTGACTTGAAAAAATGTATCACAAATCAAATCGCAATCTCAATATCTGTCAGAAAAATCGCAATTATATATTTTCCCCAAATGGTTCAGCCCTAGTTTGTAGCACAGTACGCTGCTGCTGTGTCGTACACAGTGGTGGCGTGTGCGAGTTTCCAATAATTTACCCGAACACTTCCATTGAATCACGGTACAAAATGATCCTATTATACCCCATTAAATATAAGTGGAGAATTTATACGGATTTATTTTATATTTTATTTCATTTCAAAGCCTTTACTCGTCTCCTAGCAATGTGATGTAAATTATAATTATCTAACCTATAAAAGGCATTTTTTTGTCTGTTCGTCTGTCCGTCTGTCTGCGTACGCTCGCTTGCGGGGGATTTGGCTCTCGGACCGTGGGGTTCGCGTAGAAAAAAAATTGCCGGGCGGCACGCCCCGGGCCCCGCGGTGGGAATAGGCTATTTCGTTTTCCCATCCCTAAACTTTAAAGTGGTTAAAATCGCGTTTTGGTGCGATTTTATTTATTTATTTTCTTTTGCCAACCGGCTCGCTGCTGCGCATGCGCGAAACGCCGACACGAGTTGTTGCCCCTGGCAACGCACAGACGCCATCGCTGCAGGGTGGACGCCATTTCTCATTCAAAATGCCAAAAATTTACACGCAACGCTGAGGTAAATTCATCCAAGTGTCACGTCCTCTTCTCTCCTCCTCCAACCCAATGTGTGCACTTACTATTATAGGGTCGGTAGATACTAATATTAAAGCGATTAAATAGGATTATTGTAGCGTGGGGGGGGGGGGGGTAGCGGCCCAGCCCACAGCCTCGGCTGGCCGGGCAATCTAGGCGAGGCGGGGGCTCTGCTACAGAGTCGATATATAATGCTACTAGCGGGAAAATATATTTTTTAAAAAGTCTGAAAACCTAAAAACGTAACATACAAATCAAAAGATAACGCATTAATTTAAAATAAAATAAAACCCGAGCGCGCCAAGAATCGATTATTTAAATCGCGCAAATGAATCGAAGGTTGTAGGTTACTTTAGAATCGTCTTGAAGCGACGACGCGCTACAGAAACATCCTGGATAAACCAGCAAATCTTTTTAAAAAAACGTATTACAACGCTGTGCTCAAATCCCAGTGTGATGCAAGTCGAACAATAACAACCATAAGATAGATTAACCATATGTTTTCTAAATCACCAAAATAAAGCTTCAAAAACAATGTAACAACTAATCATAGGAACTGTGATTCTCATTTATCGCTCAACGATATAAATAGCATGTACGACCAAACTAGCAGCCATAGCTGGCAGCATGACACTCCCAGTGTATGATGTGTGAGTGAGTCAGTGGTAGTGTGAGTGAGTGTATGATGTGTGAGTGAGTCAGTGGTAGTGTGAGTGAGTGTATGATGTGTGAGTGAGTCAGTGGTAGTGTGAGTGAGTGTATGATGTGTGAGTGAGTCAGTGGTAGTGTGAGTGAGTGTATGATGTGTGAGTGAGTCAGTGGTAGTGTGAGTGAGTGTATGATGTGTGAGTGAGTCAGTGGTAGTGTGAGTGAGTGTATGATGTGTGAGTGAGTCAGTGGTAGTGTGAGTGAGTGTATGATGTGTGAGTGAGTCAGTGGTAGTGTGAGTGAGTGTATGATGTGTGAGTGAGTCAGTGGTAGTGTGAGTGAGTGTATGATGTGTGAGTGAGTCAGTGGTAGTGTGAGTGAGTGTATGATATGTGAGTGAGTCAGTGGTAGTGTGAGTGTGTGATGTGTGAGTCAGCGTATGATGAGTGAGTCAGTGTATGATGAGGGAATTAGTGTATGATGAGGAAATTAGTGTATGATTAGTAAAAGGGTCGGTGGTTGTGTGAGTGTATGATAATATAAGTTGGTTGCATGTCGGCAAGTATGCTAAACATTTCGAACAGACACACATTCATAAATTTCCCTTTCATATATAAGATAGAGTCAGCATGTACTACTGTAGTGAAAGCTGTAATCATAGCAGGAACCACCATAGTCGGTATGCACTGCTGTAGTCATAGCAGGATACCACCACAGTCAGCATGCAATGCTGTAGTCATAGCAGGATACCACCACAGTCAGCATGCAATGCTGTAGTCATAGCAGGATACCACCATGATCAGCATGCAATGCTGTAGTCATAGCAGGATACCACCACGGTCAGTATGCAATGCTGTAGTCATAGCAGGATACCACCACAGTCAGTATGCACTGCTGTAGTCATAGCAGGAAACCACCACAGTCAGCATGCAATGCTGTAGTGAAAGCAGGATACTACCACAGTCAGCATGCAATGCTATAGTTATAGCAGGTACCACCACAGTCAGCATGCAATGCTGTAGTCATAGCAGGAACTATCAGAGTCAGTATGCACTGCTGTAGTTAAAGCAGGTCCCACCACAGTCAGTGTGCACTGCTGTAGTCATTGCAGGTCCCACCAAAAGTAGGTATGCACTGCTGTAATCATAGCAGGTATCACCACAGTCGTATGTACTTCTGTAATAGCAGGTATCACCACCACAATATGTACTGCTGTAGTCATAGCAGGAACTCTCAGAGTCAGTATGCACTGCTGTAATAGCAGGTACCACCAGTCAGTATGCACAGCTGTAGTCATATGATACCACCACAGTCAGTATGCACTGCTGTAATGATAGCACCTACCACCACAGTACGCACTGCTGTAGTGAAAGCATGTTCCACCACAGTATCCACTGCTGTAATCATAGCAGGTATCACCACAGTCAGTATGCACTGCTGTAATAGCAGGTACCACCACAATCAGTATGCACTGCTGTAGTGTTAGCAGGTACCACCACAGTAAGTATGCACTGGTCTAGGGAAAGCATGTCCCACCAAAAGTAGGTATTCACTGCTGTAGTGATAGCAGGTACCACCACAGTCAGTATGCACTGGTCTAGGGAAAGCATGTCCCACCAAAAGTAGGTATTCACTGCTGTAGTGATAGCAGGTACCACCACAGTCAGTATACACTGGTCTAGGGAAAGCATGTCCCACCAAAAGTAGGTATGCACTGCTGTAGTCATAGCAGGTACAACCACAGTCAGTATGCACTGCTGTAATCATAGCAGGTACCACCACAGTCAGTATGCACTGCTGTAGTCATAGCAGATACTGCTATTCAGTTGGTAGATCATGCTATATAGAGTTAGTAGATACTGAAACAGTCAATATATACCACTATGGTCAGTAAATACTACTACAGTCAGCAAATACGACTACACAGTCAGTAGATACTACAACGGTCAGTAGCTACTGCTATAGAGTCAGTAGATACTGCTATACAATCAGTAGATACTGTTATAGAGTTAGTAGTTACTACTATAGTCAGTGGATACTACTATAGAGTCAGCAGATACTACTATAGAGTTAGTTGTTACTACTATAGAGTCGGTAGATACTACTGTAGGGCCAGTAGATACTACTACGGTCAGTCGTTACTACAGTCACTAAATACTACTGTACAGTCAGTAGCTACTACTGGCTCAGTAGATACTGTACAGTCAGTAGATACAACTACAGAGTCAATAGGTACTACTTCCTCTGTTGTATAGGGTGTGTAGGTATATATACCTACGTGGGGGTAAAGATAGTTTTTGAGCAGGGGGGGGGGGTCGACAATTTTCAGAAACCTTTTAGATCAACTATTTACCCCACACTTTCTATAACTTTTTGGACTTGTGCAAGCCTCTTATAATTTTGTTGGTGGAGAAATGGACAAACGGCCCAACGGGCTTTCACAATACCTTAGTATCTGTGTATGTATATGTAAGGTTTTTAAGAAAGGTTTTGAAATATATTTTTCACCCGGGCAATGAGAGTGACTGATGAGAAATATAATTATTTTATTTGAAAGTCTCGAGACATCTCCCACCAATCTCAACACACTTATTAAATAGTTTGTAAGATATGCGAGCCATCCCTTCACAACATTCAATCCGCTTTAAGGTCATTAGATATCCGTGGTGTATGGAGGAAGAGCAAAACTACACAAACTCTAACCTGAAGCCTTCTTGTGGCGAGCAGATCTCAACATTGGCATTTAGCTCTGATCAAATTTCCGTGGTACACAATAATACAATAAAGGGGTATCTATGAATGGATCACCCTATGTTTTTTCTTCAGGGCCATGTAACAGCCCAATGAGTCACGGTGTTGTCTATTTTACAATACGGGAATGTACACATCGCCTTCGAACAAAATGTCCCATTCAGTACATTTCAATCAGCTCACGTGCAAGCTGCTTGATGGAGTATTATATTGCAGCATCGTGAGACATGGCAGTGGCTTCGCTAGACCTTAATCCAGCAGTGGATTGGCCACGGCTGCTGATGATGTTGATGAAATTGTCCATAAGTTCCACAATGCTGTAGTATATGATGTCTATACCTCTACAACATTGGCACACGTTATAAACAAGCCAGGTTTCGGGCGGCGTGCATATTATGGTAATTTAACTTATTTAATGAAACCGCATCGCATGATTATTAACTTTTGGTGTTCCTTGACCTGGATTAAAGGTCATAGATTTTACAAAGCTTGTCATTAATACCGTCGGTGCCAAACCCTGGGGTTCAGAGTGAGCTCTGACTGGACTTTGTACAAGGATCATTGCTCAAGTGTTTACATGGACAGCCTGCTCTTGCATTGCCATGTTGTTTGTGATCTTAATCCGGAAATCCATGCGGATTCAAAGATGAGGGAGAATCTTAAATACCATGACCCTCACAGACTGAATTATTTCATCCCAAAAATATTCTAAATAAGAGGAGTTCTGAATTAACAGTTTAAAAATGTACTGTTTCTGTAGAATAATAAAAGTAGATGGCATGTCATAAACGTGGTGACATTTAATTTAGATAAGAAATGCAAATGGTTAACTGTCAAAGGGTGTGATGTGTTTTTATGATTATATTGTTTTGGGACTTGAAATATAATTAATTTTGAAATAATGCATTTAACTCAAGTAGGATGTCGTGAGATCCATCGGTACACATCCAGACCTTACCTGATAAGGACCCGATCTGAATGTTTAAAAGAAAATAGATTTTGCTTAGCGCAGAAGCTACACATAAACACACAACATGATCACAAATGGATACTTTATTTTTCAGTTTCCGAAAGAAGAAAATTACTCAATGCAAGTTTCACGTAGGTATACATTCGTTTAGTCACTCCACTGCTGGATGAGGGCCTCCTTACACAGTGTGGGAGTTATTTGACCATACTTCACACTGGCCAGTGCAGGTTGGTGAAGGCAGGGAGCGTGGTGTTATATAGACGTACGTTACGGCAATGGATTTTGCTGCTGCTCCCCACGTCACCCCACAGTCTAAAATACCCATCCAAGCACGAGGCTCAACTCTGCTTAGTTTCCAGAGATCTGATGAGGTAGGGTGCATTCCGGGTGATTTGGTAAAAATGACAAATCATGTTGTGTTTGATTCTCGTTTGTAGGACCGGTGGATGAAGAGAACTTCTTCGAATGGGAAGCTCTCATTATGTGAGTACGACAGGCAGTGTTGCAACTGGAGACTCGAGCCACACATTGATGCAACCCAAAACACTCGTAATCCGTAGCTGGTAGATTCACACCAGGGCTCTGGGTTCCGGGCTGTCCAGTAATAAACCTGAAGCTTCGATTAATGAGAGAAACACTTTCAAGTGTTCAGCGTGCCGCCTCGGCATTCTAGTGATATTACTCCAGCTTTGTCTGCGGCTTATGGGTTAGAGCTCTGAGCTAGTACCATTGAAATCCTGGGTTCATATCTGGATTTCAGCTATTCAAGTTGATGGTCCCAGCCTGGTCACCATTAACTCTGGTTTTTCATTTAATTTGGTAAAATTCCATCACCTGAGAATTGACTAGTAGTTTGACCGTCATGCGACAAACATTTTCCCAATGACCAAACCCAAAAGTAACTATTTATTCATCCTAGATTTGAAGCTTTCGTGACTGCAAGGATCCATACTCTTTGGTTCTATTCGGTAAATTCACGTAGGTAAAAAAATAAAACAACAAAAATCACGACGTTTCGGCCACAACACAAGCGGCCTTCATCAGGTGAAGGGACCAGCCTGTCTCGAAGACTGCGCTGGAGTGAAACAGAGCCAAGCTCAGACTACGACCTTTAAGCTGAGCTTGACTGTTTCACTCCAGCGCAGTCTTCGAGACAGGCTGGTCCCTTCACCTGATGAAGGCCGCTTGTGTTGTGGCCGAAACGTCGTGATTTTTGTTTTATTTTTTTACCTACGTGACTTTACCGAATAGAACCAAAGAGTATTTATTAATCATATTGGACGTGAAAATCTACGTATTAACATTTCCATCCTCGGCAGAAATGGAAAGAGCTACATGAGTGAACCGCTGCGGTGGCATGCAAGAAGATCTCTCTCTTGTCCTCATGAACGTAGCTGGAATTGCACGTTGGACGTGTACAGCCTGCGCTCTTGTCCGCGAGTTAAAGAGCTACTTGTGCTTGCCTCGAGTCATCCCGCGAGTGGTGTTTGTGCCGAACGTTAAGAGCAACCGTTCATGTGCAGGGGCCCCGAGGGCACGTGCTTTGAGGGCGGAGTGTTCCCCGCCGTGCTCACCTTCCCTCCCGACTACCCGCTCAGCCCACCCAAGATGCGCTTCACCTGCGAGATGTTCCACCCCAACAGTGAGCCTCCTCTCTCTGTTCCATACGCACGCGACGCCTGTATCCACGTGGCACACAAACACACGTGTCACCTGGTGTAAGAAATTAAACGAGGCCTCCCGCTCCAATTCCCCCCCCCCCCAACATCATAAGCCCAGGGCCTTGGTTCCTCCGGTCCGTGGTCCCCGGTGCAGTTTCACCGCCTACACACTCAATAGCTACGCCACTGACGCTAATGATGCACGTATCAAATAATGCAGCTACTCTGGTTACTGTACTGTAATATACATTTTCCACTTGCACATCGAAACCAAGCCAACATGGCGCTACCACGGTACAGGTGGGTTTTCCATTGGCATTTTACCATTGCATATGACGTCAGCGGTACGGCTCGTTGAGTGGAAAGGCAATGTTGGCTTCCTAACCCATGCTGGGCTGGCTCAGATGTGCCAGTGGAGGACAAGCGAAATGTTGGCGGGGTTAGCCATGTCGCGTGTTCATCGTTGCTCTGCGGTCTCCGCGTGTCCCCAGTTTACCCAGACGGGCGAGTGTGCATCTCCATCCTGCATGCGCCGGGCGACGACCCCATGGGCTACGAGAGCAGCGCCGAGCGCTGGAGCCCCGTGCAGAGCGTGGAGAAGATCCTGCTGTCCGTCGTCAGCATGCTCGCCGGTACACGACACACGAACCTCCCTCCGCGCGGGGGCCCCTGCTCTCCGGGTCAGGCGACGAGCGTGCGTATGCTCACAGGGGGGGGCCCCGCGCTTAGATCGCGTTCGAACAACGTGCGGCCGGTGCGGCCGTTTCCTTTACGATAGGAAAATGAAAGAAGTCGCCGAGTTGTGAATGTGGTGAAGTGCGATCTGTCCGTCACATGTAACCCACCGCTGCCCATTGCACCGGACGTACGATCGGAATACGTCAAGCAACTCCTGAGGCCTTCGAATTGATTATCAAGCTCGGCACACGGCTATATCGTCCATCAGTGGATCTTCGATTGCCACACGAGGGACTCAGCGATTCATAAATACGACCGTATACTCCAGATTATAAGATGCTCCAGAAAGTAATATCAGCCCCAGACTTGTGCCCAGTGTCATTAAAAGTTATACAAATGTGGCCACACACAAACACACAGATACCGGATTACAAAACACAGCGACCGACTTTTGGTTTAAGATACCGGGGAAGGAGTTTATCTTAGGAAGAAACATACAAATGCATAACAAAAATGTACATGTTTCTGCATGTTTTAAACTTGTGGTTTTCTGGCCTGCGCTTATTCCATCATAATGGGATTTTGTCATCATTCACATATTTGATTAATCCAAAGTATACGGAAATGAAAAGTAATATTACATGTGTTCTCAAAACAATGCGAGCTGATGGCACACCTTTTCCCCCTTCAGGTTTTTCCTTAAGAAATGCCACATTCATCCAGCAGGGGTCAGCCTATCCACAAGACAACCACTTGCGTGACTTTCCTTCTTGTATATCACGTGATATTAAAAGTTCACTGAACAATTGAAGAATAAAAATCCTTATTGAGACTGGAGAAATCCGATGAGCTATGAATATCTTTTTCACAGATGTCCAGTAGGGGCGGGTCAGCATAAGATCATTGTTGGGATTGACACAACTGGAAAACACATCGGAGTATGTATTCATAGGGCAGGCGTGCACAGCTTACACATGAATGAAGGCCTGCAAGTTTCATGTGTTTACATGTGATGTGTTCACATCACCGTTGCAGCCACTGACAGCTTGCTACATTAACCAACATTCTTAAAAATATATATATTATTTAATCGCAATGTGGAGTCACAACAATTCATGGTTACCGGCTGCTGATAACTACCAATGTTGGGTTAGTAGCGGCATGCTGCGCATATCATCGGGGCATCTTCACCCACGCACAACCGACCAGCGTGGTGACGGCTCAAGGGACGGAGAGATCACGGCTGATGCCGATGCTAGCTTGAGTAAAGCTATGCGGGACTGATGACGATTTCTTGTTTTTTTTTTTATCGGGACGCGATGGCAGAACCCAACGACGAGAGCGGAGCGAACGTCGACGCATCCAAGATGTGGCGCGAGGATCGCGAGCAGTTCTACCGCATCGCTCACCAGACTGTGCGCAAATCACTCGGCCTGTAGATCATCGGCACCTGGAGCTTGAGAGTTTTATTTAAAAAATAAAAAAGAATAATACTACATGCTATAGAACAGAGCGTCCTCGGAATACCAGGTTCACTCACGGGTGGTTCGTCCGTTTTTCTTATCAATTAGCCCGCTATTTTCTATTTTTAGTTCACGTACAGCTTGTGGCGGTACTGGTAAGAGTGCAGCGCTGCAATTGCTCCCTCGCGTCACTCCTGGCAGAAGGGCCTCCACTGAAGGAGTTCTAAAGGGGTTCTAGGGAGCCCCTTGAGAAAATGTGGCTTATTCATCCACAAACAGCTTGTAATGTTTATGTTACTTGTTAAATTGTAAAAAAAAAGGTAAAAAAAAAACACTGCGGACTCCACCGAAACTGACAAGTCAATTCTGGAACGCGCAGTGCAATGCTGCGGTCGTCACCGTGCTGTACGGTACCAAACCGCAATTGCCTGGCGTGCGATGTTTCCACGCTGCGTGGAGACGCAGCGAATGAGCAGTCGGTTCTATGCTTTGCACAATATTCGGGTGTTGAGCTTCCAGAGTGCCAGCTTCCATTCTCCAATTTTATTTCCATTTTAGGGGTCATTCTGAGAAAAGCATCATATATACCGGACTCTGCATATCCACTCGCAATATTTCGAGGACACTATCTCCACGAGTCAGAGGATTATTGCCTTTGCCACAACACTGACCCAGTGATTATATTCCACCAAAGTTTGGTAGCCACCAGAGATGGCACCAGATAATTCAAATACAGCATTGGTAATCTGTGGATCTGGCCAACAATGACCGCACAAATATGATAGTTTTGGTTCACATGTAATTTGACTTTGGTCAACTCTGATTGCTTAGATTTGGTTTATTTAATACAGGGAAAACGAATGATAACTTTGCACAGCTAGAACATAGGCTGAATGATATTAGAATATATATACGCTCCCATTGGGATAGTAAGAGAATGCTTAGGATGTCACTTCTGGCTTACTTGCAAATGCCATTTGTCATTGAGGTGTTTGTAGTACGTATGGAAAAATGCATCGCCGTGCATGGAAGCGATGACAATTCTAACAGTGAAAAATGAAAGACAAAAAAATGTATATAATTTATGATCGGTGAGAGTGCGGTTTGTCTCGCCGCTCTATCGAGCGTGAAGACAACGGCCACCTCCATTCGTGGTGCCGAGCCAATGGTGGAATTATTCGTGAACGCATGGCCAATATTGCGATGGCTCCTTTTACCCTCGGTGCGAATGAGCGAGCACAATTGAGCCAGCGCCGCATGGAAGCCTGGGTTCAAATCCAGGCAGTCCCTCGGAAATCAAAGCAAATCCCGAAAGTTGTGGATGATTCGCTCGGTTTTCAATCATCACAACGATCAGAACCCTCTATTAGCAGCAGGCGAATGACCATCCAACACAAGTCTCTTGCAGGACAGACCCAGGAAAATCAACGTACCGTCTTGCACAAAAAAATATGAAGTAACTAAGTATAAGTTGATGATTCGACTCTTTATATTGAGCAGTACAAACCTGAGCAAGCGGAGTTCCGTGTAATTCGTGCACGCCGTGATCGGTGGAGGAACAGTTCACGAGTGCGCTCTTAGCACAGAAACCCACAACACAAGACGTGACGCTATTGAACATGCACTGTAGGTCCAAGTGGACTTTTAATTCTTCACATTTTCCAGGAGGCTGGTGGTAGACTGGGATAGGCACGTGACTGTTGTAACCACAGTCATAGCAAAGGGTATACTGGATGTGGTGTGCTCGGTGAGGAAGTATTTATCCAGGTTGCCGACCCAGGCATACCCGGCTGACCCTGGATTTAACGATTTAACCCCTGTACATTTCAGTGACTTGTCAATTATCCACAGGTTTCCTAAATAATGTAATATCCTGTCGGTCTACTGCTGTATGAAGGCCACCCCACGCTGTGCAACTCATGTGGGTTATTTCACCGTACTTCATGCTGGTAAATGCGGGCTGGTGAAGGGAGGGTATGGGGTAAGTTCAGGGCTGCTGCAGATATCACCTTAGCCTTCACCTGTTCATAGTGCAGTGTGTTAACCACTGTGCTGCCACCCCACCTACATATAAATATATTAGTACATGAAAAAAAGTATCACTGCCTTGTTCAGAAATGATCAATTCTTACACCCGATTGTGTACATTAATCAATATATTTTTTATCAAATGATCAGTCCATGCGGTGAATACATTGAGCTGGGCCCTGATTATGTAACTTAATCGATCACAACATTTACTCCACCAAATCGGATCGCACAAAAAAAAGAAAGTATCATCTCTTCCCACGTGTGCCGCTGGACGGGAGGTAACGAGTCGAGTTTAGCGACATCGTTGACTGCGTCACGCTGGGCGTGGCTTATACTGCGGGGGTTTCCCACCTTCGGAAGGAAGCATGTGAAAAGTTACCATTTCCAAAGTTTCCCAAGTAATTGACCACTTAAATAAGGAGTAGATTGCAAATTTTAGTCCATTAATCAACTTAATTGACCAATCGCCGCGGTTCCAAATGCATGAACAGCCCCATTGGGTCACGCGCAGTCTTCGGCGCACGAGGCAGCAATGGATTTTTGGGGCTTCCAACCTGAAACATTGATCCAGTATTGCCTCAAGAGGACGTTTACCATTTTAAAAAGTTTGCTCGTTAAAAAGATATATTTTGATTGCTTTGTGGAGACATGCACATTTCTTTACCAAAAATGGTCAATAAACTCGCTCACGAATATGTCCTCCCTCGTCGCCTGTATTGCATTGTACACGTGGCCCTTTTGCCACTACTGCTGGATGAGGGCCATACCGTGGGGGTTATTTCATCATACTTCACTACGCTGGTCAGTGAAGACGAGGAGCCACATACGTGCAAGCACAGAAGTGGGGTACAACAACGGATTTTGTTGCACTGCCATCTGCTGCCCACCACAGCCTCGCAAACCCAATAACGTTACTGCATGGCGGTCACCCCACTCACTATCCAGGCTCAAAAGTGCATAGCTCCCGAGATTTGACGAGATAACCCATGTTTACTAGGTTGGTATGTTTGGCCCACTCAAAGTAGCGAGTACCCGCAATTTAACTCGCCACACATGAAACTTGCCCCATTGATCAATCTGCTACGATGGATTTGACCGTGTGACCTCTTGATGTCAAGTCCGGTGCGCTCGCCATTTCACCATAGCAGCTCCCAATGTTATAACATCACTTATATTGCACCCATCATGAATCACACGACATTGACCCACTATGTATGTTTAACGTGCTTAAGAATCGATGAACAACTATGTTTCACGTGCTTAATCCATTTTAATTAACAACAGAACAAAATACTGTACAATACTTTAGAAATGTGTGACACATTGCTGAGCAGTACACAGCGGTTCTAAGAGCAGTACTGGTGACAACGCATGCTCCCTTGTGACTTACCAACACGGGGATTTCTACCCCCACGGAAAGGAGTGATCTATAAAACTCTCGTCACCATATTGAAAAATAAGTTTTTTAAATCAACGTTAAAAGTTTTTGCACTAAATAGGTAAAAATACTTGTTGAATTTAGTGCTCTTGTTACATCTTCAGAAAAATTTGAATCAATCCACTTGTTATAAAGCACTTATACTTTAGACAAGGAATAATTTTCAAGCTATGCAACACATACGTGTTATACTTCTGTAAACAGGTTATGGGGATAAAGATTACATTGGATAAAGGAATTCTCCGTAAAAAAACACTTGGGATGTTTTATATTTTAAAATGTTCAAAGAACAGCAGGAACAAAGATCATATCTTTTCAAATGCCTAGTCATGATGGCAGAAAGAGCATTTCAACCAAACCTCACACTTTCTGTAAACAATGAAAAACCCATCGAGATGGAACAGACCGTGCCGGCCGGAAACAAACGAGAGGGCCACTTTCTGTCTCTGCACGTGTTCAATCGTCATCCTCCATAGCCTCTAGCCAGTGTGAGCTTTCATGTGCTTGTTCATGACAGAGATCTTTGTGAATCGCTCGCCGCACTCACTACAAACGTACGACTTCTCTCCGTGCGTCTTCTGGTGGTTCTTCAAGGTGGAGTTCTGCGCGAACGCCCGTCCGCACTCGAGGCAAACGTAGGGCCTCTCGCCTGTGTGTATCCTGCGATGGTTCTTCAGCGTGGTGACCAACGAAAACGCCTTCCCGCAGTCTTCGCATGTGTACGGCTTCTCGCCGGTGTGCGTCCGCCGGTGGTCCTTCAGCCGGCTGATCTTGGCGAACCGCTTGCCGCAGTCTTTGCAGACGAACATGTAGGCCATCTTGCTGAAGGGGTCCGCATGTATCCTCTGGTGCGCTTTGAGGTTGCTGATCTGCGCGAAGCCCCTGCCGCAGTCGTCGCACACGTACGGCTTCTCTCCCGTGTGCGTCACCCTGTGGTGCTTCAGGGATGAGACGTCCGAGAATCGTTTCCCGCACTTCTCGCACGAATACGGCTTTTCGCCCGTATGTGTCCGCTGGTGGTTTTTCAGGTTGGAGATGCTCGCGAAGCCCTTGCCGCACACCTCGCAAATGTAAGGCCGCTCTCCTGTGTGCGTCCTGTGGTGCTGCTTTAGCGTGGAGAGCTGGGAAAAGCCCTTGCCGCACTCGCGGCACATGTACGACTTCTCCCCGGTGTGCGTAGTCCGGTGGACGGTGAGGCTGGAGATCTGCGCGAAGCCCCTTCCGCAGTGGCTGCAGATGTACGGCCTCTCCCCCGTGTGTATCCGCTGATGATTCTTCAACGTGGACGTCAGCGAAAACGTCTTTCCGCAGTCCTCGCACGCGTACGGCTTCTCCCCGGAGTGCGTCCTCTGGTGCCTTCTCAGGTTGGACACCTTGGCGAAGCCCTTCCCGCAAGCGGGGCACACGTAGGGCCTCTCGCCCGTGTGGATCACCACGTGCTGCTTCAGGCTGCAGTTGTGCGAGAAGCCCTTGCCGCACTCCTCGCACACGAACGGCCGCTCTCCCAGGTGCGCCCTCTTGTGCTCAGTGAGCATGCTCTTGAGCGGGAAGGCCGCTTCGCACTCTCCGCAGGCGTACGGCATCTCATCCGAGTGCGTCCTCTGGTGCACGAGCAGGCGCGAGATGCTCGCGAACCCGCGTCCGCACTCCGTGCACACACGCGGCATCTCGAAGGCGTGCCTCCTCCGGTGCCTCTTGAGAAGCGATTTGCTGGCAAATTTCTTCCCGCAAGCCTTGCACGGGCGAGACTTGGCCACGTCATCCGCCGTCTCGTCTTGCTCGGGGCTGTTCTTCGCCGGCTGCCGCGTGGCACGGTGCTCCTGGCTCAGCAATAGTTTCCGCTGGGTCTGCGTTTGCAAGTGCTTTGTCAGAGCGTCGAGTCGCTTGAAGCGCTTACCGAATTCCACGCCCATCAGGGGCCACTCGTCGGAGGGTGTCTCATCGTCGTTTGAGACATGAGAATCGTCCGCACAACCCTCGCTGCTCTCCGTCGGCAAATCGGGAGTTTTCCTGACGTGCGTTCTCTGATGTTTCTTCAACAACGTGATTCTGGAGAAGCCCTTCCCGCACTCCTTGCACGGGTGCTGCCTCTCCACGGATTCTGTGTGCAGTCAAACGGCAGGTCGCAAAATACATTTGATGAAATCGTTTTGGTACATTTTTTATTTAAGCTTCCTTTTCCAAGTGTTTGTTTAGATTGTTTGTCTGAATGTAATAATCAAATTGTACTATCAGTGTCATGTCAACGAAGTTTCTGTTTACAGCTCTCACTGCGACCAGTGTATCATCACCCCGTGTCAGAAAAGAGCCCTGGAGAAATCTTGACTTAAAGCTTTCGTGACTGCAGGAATTCATATTCTTTGGGTCTTTCGGTAAAGTTACGTAGATAGGTTCAAAGAAAATAAAAAACGATGACGTTTCGATCGCAACACAAGCGGTCGTCATCAGGACCCATCTTCTCGGTTGAAATTGTGTCTGTATATATGGATGGCTTTATGAACGAATCTTTGTTGATAGCCAGTGGGTTTGCAAAGTACCTTCGTCTTAGATACATAAATTTCGTGAGCCCACCGCATTAAAAGAATGATCAGCCACGGCCGAGGTATTGGTCCTACCATGTTTCAGATCTGCCTCATGCTCACGAACACGGTCCGAGACATGTCGCTTAGTTTCCCAATGTAACCACCTGGAGGTTGACATCACAGAACTACTTCTGAAGTCACTTCCAAAACGGTCTCTTTATCCACACTGGAGGATGCCTTGTCTCAACAGAAGTCTGTGGCCTCAAACCAATTCAATAATACGAAATATAATTTACAGTCCTTTGTCAATCCACTGCTGGATGAGATCTCACATACTGGGCGCATTCTGGGTGATCTGGTTATCGGCACAAAGATGTGTAATTAATTATTTAAAATCTATTCTCACACCTAGTGAAATAAGGTGTTGAATGTAGAACAGAGGTAAATGTTATTTTATCAACATTCAATTGAATTTATTTTAACTACACAAAAGCACAACATACGTTGCACCCAAACTGTTTAGATAACAAAAGTGTACTGTCATATATTAATATATTTTACACAAACTTTGCATTGCCGTGCAGCATCGTGGATAAAGGCGATACACAGAATCAGCTCGTGCTGATATTTCTGTTTTTGAGTCAGGCTACAGAGTAGTTTTATACCCCTTAACCACCCGGAATGATTGTCAGAACTTTACTTCCATTTCTCCACATATTATATACAAGGGTTTTACTTGCTGGCTGGCTGATTGGCTGAGCCCGGCCCAGAGCTTGCTTGCTTACATAAAAGCTTGATCATATTGGTCTGGAAAACCAATCGGCTGCTGGACTGAAAACATTTCATGTATATGTGGAGAAGCAGAATGGGCTTGTGCTATTTCCTTTGATATCTATTGTAGTATCCTTTACGTGCCGTGAAACTATAGACAAAATAAACAACATAGCTCCCACCATCGCTAGTGTCCTCCAGTTCCACTTCTACCTCTGCCCAGCCTTGGTTGGGTGTCGTGTGCAAGCCCGGGGGGACCTCTATGGGTCTAATGCTGGCGTCATCAGCTTCGATGTCTTCGTTTTCCAGGGCTGAAGAGCACACACAAAAACACAACAAAGGAAGCAATCATTCAACAATTTGTTAGTAACAAATATACAGTTTATGAAATACAGAGGGGTGCTGCTGTGGTGTCAAAGTTGGCACACTGGACTTGCGATAGAGGTCGCCAGTTCGAATTAATTTCCTGGAGCGACACCTGTGGGTACTCCCACCTCTAGAGGAGTTCTCTGGAGCTTTCTCTTGCAGAAGGCCTTTCTGCAAGCAGTGGCACAAGCAAGTAATTGCAAGGACTGGACCGTTCCGCGGATATATATGTACATAGCAGAATTTAAGTTACTTGTAGAGTATAAGGTTTAGTAATTTATTCATGCACTAGTGCCTTGCTGTTCCTCAAGGCTTTTTCAGCAAGGTCCTGCTACATTGGTAAGCGTGGCCAATCTGACGCACGAGTGTTTGTACGCAAACAGTGTTTATGACTGGTCCTCAACTAGCTGTGGTGGAACCCAATTACACTGCAGGGTTGACGGAGGTGGCGGGGCGGAGAATTTAAGAAAGTTGCACCAATTTAAATTGCCGCACCAGGAGAAATAAACAAATCCAGCAACCTCTGGATTGCAAACCCAGCGTGCTAACCACCACGCACGCACACAACTGTGACAGCTGTCGCAAGAATGTCATGGTGATATTTGCTTTATAGATTTAATGGTGATGAAACAAGCGCTGGGTATAAAAGTACAGGAAACTCACTTGGGACACCTACCAGCATAATTTTCAGACTTCACTGCGGGCAAAATCTCACCAACATCACTTCCGATGTCTTGCATGATGGTGATGATAATGTCCTCTGACACCACAGCACTTGCATCTGTTAAAAGTTGCAGTTTCAAATAAATTTTATTTAAATTACTACCAGAAATGTTAATAGAGTTCAAAGGCATTTTTTAATTATGTAAATTGATGCGCACTCTAAGCCAATGACCAAAATCAACCGGAACGCACCCAATCTCTTCAGACCTTATGAGCAAAGCAGAAGTGTGCATGCTCAGTCCTGGCTTGGATAGGCGACCCCTCATGCATAAAACAGATGTTAGAGACTGCTGCTGCTGCTGGGCAGCAGAGGTCAGTGCAGCAAACATCTCTTGCTGTGCTCTATTATGCTTCCACATATAAGCTCCCTGATTTTTTTTTATCAACCCACAGTGACCATCGGTGAAGTATGGTCAAAAAACCGTCACAACCTGCACCGCGTGGGCGACCCTCATCCAGCAGTAGACTGACGCGAGCGGCTGTGCATGCAGAATGCATTAAAATATTTCATGGACGTGTGTGTGTGCTGCATATCAATGCCCATCCATTACCCTTCCCCCCGCTCAATCATTTACACAGAAATTAATATAAATTAATTGCACGGTCAAGTCGGTCTCGCTGGTGGTCATTCCACATTCCTGTGGCCAGTCCAGTGCCTCCATAACGCTGCCACTGCCAACTGACCACGAAATTGATACTCAACCCATCAACGGAATGTTCATGAGTAACCCAGGCGGCGCTCAAACCGCTCGGGGCCAAATAACCCCGTGGCAGCGGTGTCAATTCCACACTCTTATGGCCGGGGCAAGCACCGCCGTTCCCTTTCATACAAAATGCACCGCAGGGACACGCTCGTTGTCGAGCAGAGCGCACAACTCATCCCACGCGAGTTGATTTGAACTGCAGCACGGGAGACCTCATGCTGTTAAGAGGCGAACCACGTCGAACAGTAGTTCTGCGAGCTCTGCGTCCGCGGACCGTTCTCCGCCCCGCAATGCTCGATTACGCGACGCAAGAGCGCGCATTTGGGGCCAAGCAATTGTAAGAGGTGGTGAGCTCCGTGTGTCTCTCGTGACGAGGAATGAGGCCGCACGAGACGCCGTTGTGTGTGTGTGTGATATTTATTACCTACAGATCGCAGCCACAGGCCAAGGGAGCAGCGAAGCGGGCGGCCGCATCAGCCCCAGCGCTCAGAGACGACGACAACGGCAGCACGAACCACGCCAATCAGTGTACGCATCATCAATTAGCGCTGCCGTCAGAAGGGGGAGAGATTAGAGAGAGAGATGGGATAAGAGAGAGATGGGATAAGAGAGAAAGAGCGAACCCCAGGGCTCCTCTCTCGCTCTGCAGGCGACCATGGCGCTACCCGGCATGCAGCGCGCGCACTGCAGAGACCGAGGGGGCGGGGGGAAGGGCTGGGGGAGGGGCGGGGGGAAGAAGTGGGGGGAGGGGGCGGGGGGAGGGGGCGGGGGGAGGGTTCAGTGATAATGATCCCTGCAGCAGCTCTGGCGTTATGAGTTTGTTATCACCATAGTGATCACCATAGTGATCACCATAGTGATCACCATAGTGATCACCATAGTGATCACCATAGTGATCACCATAGTGATCACCATAGTGATCACCATAGTGATCACCATAGTGATCACCATAGTGATCACCATAGTGATCACCATAGTGATCACCATCATAGTGAGCACCATCATAGTGAGCACCATCATAGTGAGCACCATCATAGTGAGCACCATCATAGTGAGCACCATCATAGTGAGCACCATCATAGTGAGCACCATCATAGTGAGCACCATCATAGTGAGCACCATCATAGTGAGCACCATCATAGTGAGCACCATAGTGAGCATAGTTCATAGTTCATAGTTTCATTTATTTGGTATAGCCCTGTGAGCCATTCGGCTCTTGAATCGGGTGCAACCGCAACAAACAAAAAACATGAACAAGAAAACATCTTAAAGTGATTTTGTGACTGTGCAAACAGAAAATACAGGAAAAAAAATATAAAAATATTCCTGAAATAGCACCGTACACCAACGCTGTGTGCAAAAATCCCAGTGGGATGCAAGTCAAAATAACAACAACAACCACAAGACAACTAAGATTAAGGCCATCAGTCTAACTCCGTACTACAATAAACAAAAACATGGCCAAAACAAAAAAAAAACTTTTCGAAATCACCACAATAAAAGCCATAAATCCATTGTAACAGTGATCATAGGGACGGTGACCGAATTTTTAACAATAAACTACATAAATAAATTATAACACCAAAATCTAGAGCCATATTTTAGGCCACTGAATAGCAGTGGCAGCTAGGGTTGTACAACTCCTCTAGAGCAGTTTTGAGTGAAGATCTCATAGGTAGTGATTCAAGTTGCAGTTTATTGGCAATAGCATTCCAGACCCTGGGGGCATCAATAGCAAAGGCCCTTCCTCCAGTTTTTGTCGGCAATAGGAATGTGAAAATCAGGGATCACCATAGTGAGCACCATAGTGAGCACCATAGTGATCACCATCGTGATCACCATAGTGATCACCATAGTGAGCACCATCGTGATCACCATAGTGAGCACCATAGTGATCACCATAGTGGTCACCATAGTGACCACCATCGTGATAACAAACTCATGTGGGGTTAAATTTCGATTTAAAGCTTTCGTGACTGCAGGGATTCATATTCTTGTTTCTTTCGGTAAAGTCACGTAGAAGGGAAATAATAAAAATAAACAATACATTTCTCACGACGTTTCTATTGCAACACAAGCAATCATCATCAGGTGTGAAAAAACACAGCAAGACAATTTGAAAAAAGTAATAATAATCACGTGAGGTTGTTATTAGTATAAGAGTTATAGTTGGTTAGTGTTATCAGTGTGTGAGTGTTATGACGGCAGTGATAGCAGTGCGTCCGTGTCCTTATCTCTGTTGTTGTAGTACACTGCAGTAAATCTTGCTGTCGTTTTCCCACCTGATGATGATTGCTTGTGTTGCAATCGAAACTTCGTGATTTGTTTTATTTTATTTCTAACTCCGTGACTTTACCGAAAGAACTAAAGTGTAATCTTCACTTAAAGCTTTCGTGACTGCAGGAATTTATATTCTTTGGGTCTTTCGGTAAAGTCACGTAGAAAGGTTCAAAGAAAATAACAAAAAGCCACGACGTTTCGATCGCAACACAAGCGGTCGTCATCAGGAAAAAAGGAGGTGGGTGGGAGGCTACAGTCTACATTATAGACTGTCAGTACACTCACCCAGTTTAATAACCAGGCTACAGTCTACATTATAGACTGTCAGTACACTCACCCAGTTTAATAACCAGGCTACAGTCTACATTATAGACTGTCAGTACACTCACCCAGTTTAATAACCAGGCTACAGTCTACATTATAGACTGTCAGTACATTCACCCAGATTAATAACCAGGCTACAGTCTACATTATAGACTGCCAGTACACTCACTCAGCTTAATAACCAGGCTACAGTCTACATTATAGACTGTCAGTACACTCACCCAGTTTAATAACCAGGCTACAGTCTACATTATAAACTGCCAGTACACTCACCCTGCTTAATAACCAGGCTACAGTCTACATTATAGACTGCCAGTACACTCAATCAGCTTAATAACCAGGCTACAGTCTACATTATTGACTGCCAGTACACTCACTCAGCTTAATAACCAGGCTACAGTCTACATTATAGACTGCCAGTACACTCACCCAGATGAATAACCAGGTTACAGTCTACATTATAGACTGCCAGTACACTCACTCAGATTAATAACCAGGCTACAGTCTGCATTATAGACTGCCAGTACACTCACTCAGCTTAATAACCAGGCTACAGTCTACATTATAGACTGCCAGTACACTCATATTAAAAACCAGGCTTCAGTATTATTTTATTATTTTTATAACCTTAATTTTTATTATGTTTCTATCTACGTGACTTTACCGAAAGAATCAAAGAGTATAGTAATCTACTGTTCATGATTATTAATGAGGGGGGCTGGTCGACGTGCAGTGACATCACGCGCGAGACACATTCTGCGCTCATTATCGTCGTGAATTGTGTGTGTTAGTGCCGTCACAATGAGTGTAATAATACCCATAATAGGTGCAATAGGTTTATTTCTACAGTAATGATGATAATCACTGGCAGTGTTTTATTAGTGTAGTTATTATTGGCGAGATATAAGCTCGTCAGTGGTTGTTATTGTAATAAAGTAGTTATATAACTTTATCGTGTGGTTGTTGATTGTGGAGGTATAACCGTATATCAGTTATAATGTTATAATATTTGTATTGACGTAGTAACAGTTATAAGTATCGTGCTAATGTTTACGTGTGTCTCATGAGAAGTGATTATTGTTGGTCACGGTTGCTGAGCACAGAATCTGTATTTAGACTGCAGGAGAAATCTGATGAACAATAAAGCTCTTTTTCAGAACGTTACAACAACAACCACACTACACAAATACGAGACCAGTACAAGGTATAGGAACGGTAAACAAACCACTTCAGGCTGCCAAGCGGCCAGTAACAAACATCACTCTCAATGGTTCAGAGTTAATATACGGTTCTCGAATTGAGCGATGTTGTTATAAAATCTTGGGGAATGAGACACCCACGGGACAATTATTTTTTTCCAAAGTCGCGCAGAGCTACGCGTGCGAGTCCGCCTGTGTAGCATCCGCACCTCCGATTAGCCACGGTTGGCTACGTACGGTGCGAAAGAAGTTCAACACGCGTGCATACATAGACGCTTCCCCGTGCGGTGAGAAGAGAACGAAGGGAGGCTTCCCAAAGGGACTACTACTGGCTTGCCAGCTCGTAGCCGGCTGAGCCCACAAACAAGAGTTGAACCCGCGACCTCGCGATTGTCATTCAAGCGCTCTGTCCACAAAGCCACACGGCGCTATCCATAATACCCCTCTGTGTGTGTCCATCTCCTCCGTTCTTACAGCACTTCCCCGAGCGGCCTATTCACACAAGCAACGCGCACACAACAACGCGCACACACACACAAAAAACTCCGAGCGGAGGGTCACACGCAAGAGCCGACGGATCGCGCACGCCGGGCGTAAATCCTAGAGCGGCTTTCAAGCGGATGAGATCAGTGGCTCTCACCCCGTGACACATTTCGGAAGGGCCAGAACTGTGCCATCACACAAGTCACTCACGTTCGGGTAAGGAAATGTGTCCAAACGAAGTGAAATGTTCGAAATAGCACAGTGAGTTATTTTGCTCAAATCAGCTTTAAAGCGGTTCACATCTCCCGTTGATAGTCAGTGGTTGGAATTCCACTGTTGACCTCCCGCACCAGTGGTCCTGATTTTATCGACCCCGGAAGGACGATGGGCTGAGTCAACCCCCTCAACCAGAATGTGAACTCGCAATCTTCCGATGGCGAGCTGCTCGCTCTAACGCTGAGCCACCTGGACATTTTCAACAAGTATTGTGTTGTCTATCACGGAGACGTGGGGCTGCTGTTGATTCAACATCCACAACCGGTAACACCATCAAGCAGCAGCGGGCAATGCGTTATATCACTGATGGAGAACGTGAGCTGCTCAATTCAAATGTTGGGAAAGCTTCCACCAGGCACGTGGAGCGAAACGTCGGACATCGTGCCAAACGACGCGCGGCACGGCCCGAAAAAACACACGCCGTAGAGCCATACAGCGCAACCCCACAAACAATAGCAACAATAAATTCCACAAACGGTAGAATAACGAGTCGCACTGCTTCACAACTTCACATCTGTGCACAATCTCTACAGCGGCGGTTCACGGCCTACGACGGCCACCCAAACAATCCCGGGCCCGGCCGTTGCGGCGTGTAGCACGGCGATGTCGAATGCGCGCTCTTTGCTGCTCCACCACGCCGCCGGGCGCCTCTCTGCTGACATGGATTACAGACGAGAACCTGGACCCAATAGGGAATTCACGAGATGATGTTTGCTCGTGTCCTCCTCTCTCTCTCTCTGCTCCTCCCTCCTCCTCCTCCCCCTTATCCCGCTGGCGCTGTCCGTGGCAGGCGGCGCCCGCGATCACCGGGGCTGATCAGCATGCGTGTTCTGTGGTGCCACAGAGTTAGCGGGGCCGGGATCCAAGGCGTCGCAAAGCGGGAGACATCCATCTGCAACGCCACAGAGAAGAACACTTCCCCCTTTGTCAGCCCGGCGTGGGGGGAGCAAGAGCCAAAGGAAGGGAGGGGGGTGGTAGGAAGGGGAGTTACATAAAAAAAAAGAGAGACCGTCCTTAGATGTGGATCCCATTGAGCCAAGTCCAGCCCTTTTTTTGCCAATGTGACAACCCCGGCGACGATTTTTTTTTATCGGAATAATTCCCATTCA